AAAAAATATAAAAAATTAAATTTTATATATTTAGTTATTTTATAAAAAGCGCTATAATTTATTACTTTTTAAAATATTAGGAGTATTTATATAAGTTACTTTAATTATAAAAGTATTAATTTTTATTATTTTTTTTTATAATTAATTATTTAGTTAATAATTATTTTAAGTACCTTTTTTTTATACCTTTTATTAGTTTAGATTATAATATATATAAAAAAAACCCTTTAGTAAATATAAGAAATATTTTTATTAATTATTATATTACATAATTATTTATTAATAATAGTAAGCTTAATTTATAACTTTATAAAGGTTTTTTTATTATTATTATTATTAAAACTACTATTACTTTTTTATACTTTTACTTACTTTTACTTAGCTTTAAATAATATATTTTAATTAATATAATATATATAAAGCTATTACTATATTATAAGGAATTAATTATTAAAAGTAGTTTTTATAATATTATTAAAATTAATAATAATTACCTTAGGCTCCTTAATAAAATATTATTTAAAAAATTAAAATATATTTTTTATAAAAAACTAAAACTTCTCTTTCCTTTTATTATTAATTAAACTTTATATACTATTATATATTAAATTAAGGTATATTTAACTAATAATTTAAAAAAAAAACTTATATTAATTAATATTATAAATATTATTAAAGCTTATAATTTTTAAAAATTATTTTTATATTTATAAATAATAAAAAAAATTTATATAACCCTAACTAACTAATTTAATTTATTATTTACNTATTTTATAAAATATAAAATTTTTTTTATTAAATAGCTTAATTAATATAATAGTAGAAATATAATTATAAGTTTCTTATAGTTTATTTATACTTAGGTATTATAAATATCCCTTTATATAAATATAATATTAAAGTATTTTTATTTTATAATAATATAAATATTTTATATTTAAATACTTACTTAATAATTAATTAACTTAATTATTATTTTTACTAATACTATAAATTATTAATATAATAAATATACTAATATAATAAAATTATATTTATAATTATATTAGTTATATTTTAAATTATTATAATATTTAAAAAGCTATTTATTTTTTTTTAAGCTTTAATAATAATTATTTACTTATACTTATATTTTTATAATTTTTATATTTAAAAATTAATATTATATAAAGCTTAAGGTTATTTAAATTAATTATATTAAATAAAAAATTATATTTACTATTTTTTATAAAAGTATATATTTTATTAAGTAATATTATTACAGCCTAACCTAAGATAAAGTATATTAAGAATATACTATAGAAGAATACTTTACCTAAAGAATTAATTCATATAAAAGTAATAAGCTTATTATAAATTACCTTAGATAAATTATTTATAAAATAATAATTTTATACTTAGGCTTATAATTTTAAAAATAAACTACTAAAAATAACTAAATATATAAAATTTAATTCTTTATACTTTTTAAATAACTTAAATAAATAATTATTAATAAAATATTAAAATTAAATATAAACTAAATTTTTATTATATTTTACTTACTTTATAATTATATTTATTTAAAACTATTTTTTATTTTTTTTACTAATATAAACTAATTAACTTTAGTTTATTACCTTAAAAATTTACTTTATATTATTTAAATATTAAGTTAAAATATTATATATTAATAACTTTTATTTAAAAAAATACTAAGTATTTTTAAATAATATAAACTATTATACCTAAAGCTAAATTAACTATTAATAATTTATTTATTAACCTTAGTATATTTATAATTAAAAATAATAATAATATTATTATAATAAACTTACTTAATATTTCCTTATTTAAAAATCTAAAACTTTTAATATTTATTTAAAATATATATTAATTTAATAAAATCCTAGTTAATAAACTTAATAAAAAAAATTAAAGATTATTAATATTAAAATTTTTATTAAATATTAATCACCCTTTATATTTAAAGAAAATATTAAAAAACTTTACTTTTATTTAATTTAACTTAAAGTATACTTTAAGAATTTTAAAAATACTTTTAATATTACTTATTTAAAATAATTTAAATAATTAATTATCAATATAAAATAATATTTAATTATACTTATAAAAGTATTATCTACTAGTTATATAAATAAACCTTTATTTTTATTAATTACCCACTAGTCCAGCCTGGTTTATCCGCTAATATAAACCTAGTATAAGGTTTATCCTTTGGGAATCCCTTCTATACTAACCCTATAGGAGCCTAGCTTATTATACACTTGCGTTACTATTTTCCCTTCTATTATTTTATAAACATTATTGTATTTAGTTAAGCGCAAATGTTTTATTGGTACTTAAGAGTAGTCTATCGATGGCGCTATCGTGAACAGTATCTTGTTACGGTCTGGTCCTTTGTAACCGATCAACTCCTTATGCAAACTTAGTAGCTTGCTCCATAACAGTACTTTTTACGATTGCGATGATTGGTTTAAGCTTTAACCATGTTGGCGCTACGATATAACGGGCCGTAGCATCCTTGATTAATGACTACAGGACCAGCCCTGCCTTGTCAATAACGTTGTGCCAGCTTCAGATCACAACATTTCAGACCATGCCTTAGCAGGGAGTAACAGAGCGGTTACGATAATCCTGTAGCCAATGATACAGCGTCTCCTTTCCGCAATAAACGCATGCGACGGGCCTTTTGTCAATGCCCCGCCTGGTTCCTTTGTTAGTTAGGCCTACGTGCCGGCACTTTTGGATATCAGTGGCGGGGGTCGTTTCGGAGGATATTGAGTCTGGGCATTACCATTCCGGCTAGGTATGGAAAATAAATCTCTTGGCCGGAGCAAAATCTAGATTAGGTAGCGCTACCAATCATCTAAGAGGATTATAGTTGTATTGCATCTACTCGTGCATCTCGATGCCGCTTCCGCTTCGAATAATTGTTCCACCTGCTACATAGGGAAGCTCTTATCTCCTCCACAGCTAACCCTTGTCCGCAAACCATTATTAGCGGCACTTGAGCGAGATGCGCCACAGGATTCGACTTGCCTTATATAGCAGGTATTAGTAACAGCTAGGAACAGAAACGGGATCAACATGTGAATATCGTCACCTCGCGTATACCTTAGCTCCTTAAGCCTCTCGAGTAGCGACGAGAGCGTTTAATCACAGGTCTGTCTAAGAAGTTTCTGGCAGTTGCAACAACTGCATATGGGCCGCTTTACCCGTGTACAAAGGATTTGAATACACATGATTCGGTTAGGACGGAAGAGCATCAAGTTGTATAATCAAAAGTTCGATTGACGTGATCAGACATGCTGTAAATCTCATCAAGATGCTGAGGGAGTATCTTGCAGTAAAGAGGAATCTTGTGTATAAAAGCATGGCATCACGCCCCCATTATCAAGAATTTGACTCAACAGCATTCACACTATCAATCTGTTTGTCCTGAGCTAAACATCTCCGTCTACTGACGCCATGCTCTTCTCCTCTATTGCCATTGTTGCGGCGGCAACTGCTGCCTTGGCATCGCCGGTAAAGCCAAGTGCCAAGACTGCCGCGCTATCAGTGAAGCGTATCTCCAACGTCAAATCATTGAAGAATATTGTCCAAAAGGGCCAGGCACGCATCAACAAGATCAACGGCGTCAAAGACCTTGAGGCCAGAGCTAGCGGCCCGGCCACCAACGAGGATGTTAGCTATGTTGCCTCGGTCACTATCGGTGGTCAATCCTGGGACCTCATCGTCGACACTGGATGTACGTCGTCACTACATAGACACTGAGTAACACATGTGCTGACCTGATATCCTGACTAGCTTCAAACACGTGGTGTGGTGCCCAGCGCTCATGCGAGCCTTCATCTACTGGCAAGTCCACCGGCGGTTCCGTCCAGGTTAGCTATGGTTCCGGCTCTTTCTCCGGCACCGAGTACAAGGACACAGTTACCTTCGGTGGTTTGACCGTCACATCACAGTCGGTTGGAGCTGCCAGCTCATCCTCTGGCTTTTCAGGTGTTGATGGAATTATCGGCTTTGGTCCGGTGGATCTCACTGAAGACACCGTCTCTAACGCCAACACGGTTCCAACCTTCCTGGATAATCTCTACAGCCAAGGTTCCATCTCGACTGAGGTGCTGGGTGTTTCCTTCAAGCCAGAGTCTGGCAGTGACAGTGATGACACCAACGGCGAGTTGACCCTCGGTGGTACTGATAGCTCCAAGTACACGGGCTCTCTCACCTACTTCTCAACTCTCAAGAGTGGCTCTGCTGCTCCCTACTGGGGCATATCTATTGCTAGTTTCACTTACGGCTCGACGACCCTCGCATCGTCTGCCACTGGCATTGTCGACACTGGCACTACGCTCATCTACATCCCCACTAAGGCTTACAATGCATTCCTGTCCGCCGCTGGTGGCAAGACTGACAGCTCTTCTGGCCTCGCCGTCTTCTCAAAAGCGCCAACATCCAACTTTGCTATCAAGTTTGGCTCAACGACCTACACCCTTACACCGTCGCAGTACTTGGTTCCCACCTCTCAGTACAGCTTCTACGGACTCAGCTCCGGAAAATACTACGCTTGGATTAACGACGGTGGCAGCTCGGGTGTCAACACCATTATTGGCCAGAAGTTCCTGGAAAATTACTACTCCGTTTTTGATACTACCAACGGCCGCATCGGCTTTGCTACCGCCGCTTAAATGAATGCATGTTCATTTCCCCCTTGCTCATGAACACAACCAGGACATACTATTCATGGGTAATTTGTCACCATGGTGCTGGATGATGAATATGTTGATTTATTGGAGGGCAACTGGGGATAAAAGTAGTGCCAGTCTTAGTTAGCTTCCAGCTCTAAGTGTAGTGGGAATAAATGCGTTAAACTATATATTCTTAAATTGAGAATGATGTATGAACACTATAACAAATGGAGGTTAATTTATTTTCCACTGATGATGCCGCTTGATTTTACACGACCGCGTACAACGGATGCTATGACTACATGTAATCTAGACCAAACCAGCTACAGCACCGAGTGGATCTCCGTAGGCATCATCTGGATTGCCTCCGACGCAGTGATGGCACCACAAATGGTTGCCCGGGTCGTGCGCTTTCTTGATGGCCAGTAGCTGTTGGTACAATGCCTGGCCCCAATAGCGAGATGTCCAGTTGTGCATGACGTAGGAGCTCTCAGAGAAATAGCTGCTCGGGCCAATGCGATACAAAGTGTCCATTGACTGCTGGGTGGTCAACGTACGCGCATTCCAAAGCATCACAGCTGAGCGAAAGCCAGGTGAGATGGCCGTATCGCCTGGCTGTGGGCTCCCCAGATTGCCAGTCAAGGAAGTGTAGAGGTAGTGAAAGCCACAGCGATGACCCGTTGGATCTGGCGAAGTTGTGTCAGGATTCTTCAAGGATGTCACGCAAATATCCAGCACCTCCATCATCGTGGGGGCGAACTTCGTTTCCATGGCTTGTCGTGAGACAGAAACCGAGTTTTGAGAGCCGGTAGCATTGTCAGAAGGCGGGTGTGGAGCGGGGAGAGGGTTACCGACGGCGAGCAGAAATTTGTCGGCCGGCATGCTGAGCACGTAGTCAAAGGCCGACTTGAAGTTACGCTCCTCTACGGCCGTCACCTCCAGCACTGACTTGAGTCGGTCGCGAAACAGACGATAATTCGGCTCTGTTTCACCCCCTGCGTAGAAATATTCGAAATTGAATTTCCATGTGACTGCGCAAAGACCGCCGGTCTTATAATTTGAAGTATCGATGAAGAATGCTGCCTGCGTGCTGACCTTGGAATTCAACATCAGCGTCCAAGCAGAGAATCGACTCCACATGGCCCTCAGCCACTCATACCCAAACGGACTCGAATCGGGACAGAAGGTGCCGTTTTGGATCATCAAGACGTGGCTGAGGCCACCATCGGGGACAGCGTGTGCCCGGATGGTCATGGAGAGAATCACACCCCACACGCCTCCACCACCGCCGCGCATGGCCCAGAAGAGCTGCGGGTTGTGCCGTCGGCTGGCCACCTTCTTGTGGACTACCGGTTGACCGTGCGCGTCCTGACCGACTTCACATTGTCCACACCGAGCCCCATAGAGGGGCCAAAGGGGCCATGGCCGCCCCCGAGATGGAAGCCGACCATGCCAACCGTGGAGCACCAGCCCGACGCAATTACGCGGTTGTACTGCTTAGAGAAGGCGTGCATCTCGGCGAAGACTGCGCCTGCGCCAAACTTAAATGCACCGCTCGGAGCAAGGACTGGGTCCTCCCCCCACTTAGAGATGAAAGATTTGTCTTTGAGCAAAATGGTCCGAATGAGGATTCCGCCGGTCGGGCAGGAGTTGCGACTGTTGTACTCGTGGCCTGAACCGGAAGTCGAGATGCATAACCGGTGACGGACGGCGAAGTTCAAGGCGCTGGCAACGTGTCGCTCGTTGAGAGGGAACACCACAATGAATGGATTCCAATCTTGGTATTCATTCTGGTGGAGAGCCGCTTTGCACATGTCCGACACATTGTTCCATTCTGTGGAGTTGCTGGATGACTTGAAGCATGAGCGCCTCATCTCATCCACATCCTCATAATAATACAGGGCCTTAAACCCCGTAGCCGTATTTCCCAGGCCATAAAAGGATTGGTTGTGGAAGGAGCCGGTCGGCACTGGTGCCGGCTGCGGCTGCGGGTAACTAGTCCACTTGAGACCGAGCCGTGGTTCATTGGGGTCTAACTCTTGCTCCAGCTCTTGGATTGCTGTCTTGGTGGGCCAGCAGCTAGAGTCATCAGGCGTGCACCAATCGTGGCGTATCTGGAGCAGATCTGTTACATCGCGTGGCTGTGGGGACCGAGTGGATGGCACCGACTTGGCCGGGTCGCAGGATCCAGCTCCGCAGTAATTGTTCTCAGGGCCACAGGAGTAAGAACAATGTAAGCTGCATGCATGGGTTGCAACGACCCATGGCCCATTGCGTGTGCGGCGGGAGAAAGCTTTCTTCCAAGTCATCTGGCGCCAGTCGATTCGGCGCACCGCAACGAAGGGTGGCGTAGGAATAGACCGGATGATATTGGAACTGGAAGTGGCAGGTGGTGATGCTGCCACTGGTGCTGGCGAGGAATATCGTATTGTGACCATCATCTGAATGGGTGACTGCGTAGCGCTGCACTCCGCGACTTGTGTAATTTGGCCATTCTAGTGATGCCTGGCCGTCGGCAGTGAAGTTCCATCGAGCCAGGCCCTCTTGATAGTGGTTGGATACTTGGAGCGAGCGCCATATGCCTAGCAATGCTGAAGGTACACCGGCAATGCCCGGTTGATATAGGCTCAGAGGGCTGGGTTTAGACGCCTTGCTGACTGGTGAGTGCTGCAGTGGAGCGGCGGCAGGGTTAATGTCGGGCGAGAAGACACAGCCCGGGGCCAAAGATGACTTGCACCGAAACATGAGGAAGTTGCCACAGTTGGGAGTGTCCATTGCAGCGTAAAAGTCGACAGGTGCCGGGACACCGGTGTGGTTACAAGCGAAGAAGGCCACCTCGAGGCCACTAATGTCTGGCAGTCGCTTGATAAGGCAGTCTTCCAAGTGTTGATTCGTACCACAGTTCTTCAAGACAATTTCTCGGTCGGAGCGAGGTTCGTAAGCGCACGTTTGGGGGTAAGGGCTGTCAGTGGTGACTGTCAGAGTGTCCTCCGTAAAAGTCTGAGCGAATTCGAACTTGCCAGACCCGTGCTGCTCAGCTCCAAACGAACGCCATGTGCCCTTCCAGGGGGAGATTATGTCACTTGATAGCTCTGGCATCCCGAACCCAACATTGGGGATACTATAATTCTGGATTGGCATGGGTGCGTTGGTGGGATCAAGCAAGACAGTGCTGTCGAGATTGGCGGGAGGGCAGTTGGCCCAGGAGTCACCGCATGCAAAGCATTGATCAATGCACTCACGGGACATCCTGGGGACACTATTCACCGTGTTGTCCGTCCAGCCAATTGTGGCGAGAAATGCACATTGCACGCAGCTGGCACTGATGATCGGTTCCATATCCTGCAGCCTTTTCTGCAAAGCCGGGTTGGCGTTGTACTCATTGGTCAGCACGAAAGCTGTGCGGTAGTATTTGACCCAGCATGAGTGTTATTGGCAGGGTGCTGAAGTTTGTTGAAAACTCACTTAGCACAGCTGCGGTTGAGATGAACATTGACCGCTTTCCCAGCGCCTCTCTAGGTCACCTGTAGGATCCGCCTCCACAAGGGAGCCAAAGGCTTTGCAAACTATTGGTAACAACCGAAAACACTGTCAGGGAGTTTCCTTCACTTTGCAACTACTCTTTGTGTATTATTTGATATATCAAATTCTACAACTACTGTCCCAAATGGAAATATTGATCTATAATACAACGTCCAGGCAGCAATGCTATTAAGAACGGGGAAGCCATTTCCAGCAGGCAAAATGCCATCAGCCAATTCTACGCCTGCTTTGATGTGAACCCGGAAAGCTTCAAACTGACTAACTTACCTTTTTATTGGGAGATTGGGAGTCGGCGTAACTCGCACACATTCGGGCGCCGTCTTCACAACCAACGCCCAGTCAACTCAAATCGTAGACACGACACTTTTGTCACTTTATATATATTTTTTATATAGTCACTTGTCTTGAAATTCTTGGTCAATTATTAAAGAACACCTCATATGCTATCTAAAGTAACTAACCTAGCCCTAACTTAACGTAGACCGCTGACATCTGTGAGTTTCGGCTTTGCTCGTAATGTTCGGTGAGTCGGATGTTTTCGGACTTTACTACGGAAACCTTTCTCCATTACCTAGCTATTTAAGAAATAATAAAAAGCCTTTAACAGGGAAGAAACTTCAGATGAACTATCGTACTCACGTACGCTGAGTAAAACACCCCTCTGTAATTTACCCTTCCCACACTGACTTTCAATTTACATAATGGCCTCCAATTGGAAAAGTTTGAAGCCTGCGGAACGGGTTGCGATCCAGCAGCAGGATGTATGGTATGAACGATAGAGCACAGCCCATACGCGATACACTACTAACAATCCATTTTGCCCAAGGTCCATGATAAATGAGGCAGCCGCCGAATCTGTTGCAAATATGGGCCAAGGCTTTTTGTAAGTGGCATTACGCGTTGAACCGAATCAAAGTTAATAATGGAGATCGAAATAGCAATTACAATCCTCCTGTATTTGCAATCAATGCAGCATAGGACGCGCTAGACCGGGTGGGCTGCAACCAATATACTTTAACTAATGAATTCGCGTTTGCTAAAAGCTCTTCATCTCGTAGGGCTGCTCTAGTCTGAGAAAATCCATCGCCCGGGAATACTCGCTGTCCTTCAATCGTGAATTAGACCCAGATACAGAGGTCACTGTAACAACGGGGGCACACGAGGGTAAATATAGGGATCTGACTTTTCCGTATGTTGATCACTAAATAGTCAGCCAGGAATACTGTGCGCACTAATGGCCTTTATCTCCCGAGGAGACGAAGTCATTCTTTTTGAGCCATTCTTCGATCAGTGCGTCTCGAAGAATACATGATTCTTCTATGAAGACTGACTATGGTTAGATATATTAGCAACATTGAGATGCCTGGCGGTATTATTCGCTATGTTCCCCTCAGCGCTCCTCAAGAGAATACTCTCAGAACCTCCTCGGCAGAGTGGACGATCGATTTTAAGAAATTGAATGATAGTTTCAATGAAAGAACCAAAATGATTGTAAGTCTTCTCAATGAGGAAATCAAACTGCTTATGAAACTAATGAGATAGATTATAAATTCACCGTGCGTTTATACCTCAAGAATATTATTTCTTCTTATTAACTCCAGTAGGCTCAATCCCGTTGGAAAAATCTTCTCACGCAAAGTATTAGAAACTATTGCATCTCTCTGTATAAAGCACGATGTTCTTATCCTTTCGGATGAAGTCTATGACCGACTATGCTACGTTCCGTTCACGAGAACGGCTACTCTGTCTGAAGATTTTTTTTCTCACACGCTCACTGTTGGATCAGCTGGCAAAGCATTCCAAACCACTGGTTGGAGAATTGGGTACCTGGTTGGACCTGATCACCTGATAAGGTATGTTGCCGCTGCTCATACTCGCATCTGCTATAGTAGCGTGTCTCCATTGCAAGAAGCAGTTGCTGTCGCGTTCGACAAAGCAAACTAGGTAAGATTCTGGGATTATAGTCAAAGAGAAATGAAGCGAAAACTGGATATATTTATTCAGGTATTTGATGAGCTTAAAATTCCAGTTCGTGTATTCCTTCTCTTCACCACTTCAATCTCATGCTCATTAACTTTCCTATAGTATTCCTATCCAGAAGGAGGATATTTTGTTCTGGCAAATATGGCTTCGATCAAGCTTCCTGAGGACTATCCATTTCCATTACACATTTCAAGCAGGCCGCGGGACTTCAAGATTGCATACTTTCTGATTCGAGAGCTGGGAGTAGCGGCGATTCCTGTTTCAGAATTTTATAAAGAACAAACTACGGTCGCTGCAACCAATTACCTTCGGTTTGCAGTTTGCAAGACAGATGAAGTTCTCGTACAAGCCAAGGCAAAATTGCAACAGCTTAAGAAATATATGGTTTAGAATTGTTCGGTAGCTACGAAGCTTAGTTCAGTTTCTGACGACTTGATTAATTCTCATCTTAGCCAAGAGATACAAATTCTTTCACAATTAGTTATATCTCAACTAACCTCATGTTCCAACAAACACCAACACCATCGGTCGCAAAGTATTAAGAGCTTCCGCTGTCATTAACTATGCAAGCATCTTCTGCAGCTATCATACATCAGGTGTTCATATCCGTTACTAAATTGGATATTGGGAAAATGTCTAGGTCGTTCAATAGCTCAGAAAAATAGGCATTCCAGTCGCTATTGGGCATTAGCACAGTTAAAAACCAAATAAAACATAGAGTTTATCTCACTCCACAATTTCCGTTGTAGGGAATATGCCTGATTCATCTTCTGAGCCTGTTGGGGGGTTAACGGTCTCATTTTGATCATCCCCGGATGCCAAGTCACGGGCCGCGTTTTGCCGGACAACATTCTTCACTGTTTTCAGCAGTTGAATATGAGGCTCTGATAGCCACTGAGAATCATCAACCGTCGTATTGTCTGCCGCACCAGGAGAGGATCCTGCGGACTCAAAAACGTGAATAGTCCTTTTTTGGAGATCCAAAATTATAGAGTCGTTCTTTGTTTCCTCCCAGATGCTCGTCAGTAAAATTGAACTCAAGGTCGTGTGGATCGTTGACCAAGTGCGAAGGGGAACAATGCTTAAAGTATGGAACTCGAGAAAAGCCTGCAATGCGTTTGTAAAGCTTTCCTTGGCTCTCATTCGCGCTCTTTCATATTCAGATGTATTTGTATCGCGACAACGCTTTCCAAGAGCTGGCCTACAAATGACAGTCTCGAGAAATGATGTATTTAATCGAAAGGCTAAAAAATGGAGACATTCTTGCAAGTTTTCACATTGATCCTGATTGCGTAAATGGAGCTGAGCGCTATCTCGAATACGATCGAGAATTGTGAGCCATTGCATAGAGAGAGCTATTTGGGAGCGCCCTGTCTCATGCCTTTCGAGAATTGCCATTGCAAATTGGCAGATATAATGCATGGATTCTGGAATGAAAGGCTCTTAGGAAGCAATAAACTTTCGAATGAATATCCAGATCTTGATAGTGCAGCAGGAAGTCGACCATGGCAAAGACTAAGAAGGCTATCTTGCCACACAATGGAGAGCCTAATGGTTAGGTTAGAGAAACAACCGCTTATGACTAAGTCTGAGATAGATACCATGTTTTTCTATTGGTAGTTTTGACAGTCTTGGAATCGCTGGAAGAGGCTGATGACGATGATGATGATGAGTCGTCCATATCTAGCCTCAACGCCTGGCCCAACCGTATAGTACAGCCTAGCAGTGCTGAAGAAGCATCAGACTGGCCATTGTTCTGCAGAACATTTCCAATGACCAGCAAAGCTTGTATAGCCTGGACAGTAGGGTGACATAGATAGTTAGCAAGTCGAAGGGATTGGAAAGCCCTGCGAACTATCACGCCGATTAGTACATGCTTGATTTGCCGGATATTCATTCTACACACTCAAATCACGAGGTATATGTGCTCTTGAAACGTAGCTCACGTCTGAGAACTGGACCCCTGACGCCATGGTAGCAAGGATCAATCCAATCTGACCTAGGTATTTATCATCAGTCCAGCGATGAGATTCCTTGAGTGGGTCGCTAAGCTCGCCAGTATCGAGCGATTTCAAGTAAAGACGAAGTTCTAACTCAAAATCATTAATGTCGGCAAGAATTGGATTAAATGGAAAGACGAATGCTCGATACAAGTGAAAATACCTATACGTGTTCGCGATCAACTAGGCGATAAATAAATAAGCTACGCGTTACTGCTTACTTCAGCACCTCTTCCTTCTGTAGTAAAATCTCTAGTAAAGAAGCCCATCGACCTTAAGAAGATTTCACTTTCATAAATAGATAGTCGCGGTAAGTGTTTTATAGGCCCAGCATCTGTTCCACATCATCTTAAGTAGAAGACTCCCCTTCTCTCCTTTAAAGACGAACAATAACCGCAGCAGTATTACCGCTAGATACTAGGTGGCTGTTAAAATTACCATAAATTATTGGGTAATTGGTGCTAATTTAATGCGAAGAAGCAGATTCATCAATCCGTAGCTATCTTTCAGAGTGCGGTGTAGATGCTCTATCTGCTTAACTATACGTTAGCATAAGTGTGTATTAGCGGGCCAACTGGCAAACAATCAAGACTTCTAAGATTACCGGGGCTTTTCCTGTCGCTTTCTTGTCTGAAGTTAGTATATACACAAATCTCTGGGTGACCGCGTCTTTCGCAAGTCTTGCAAGGCGATTTGCTATCACATTTGACTTTTCGCAGTCTGCACGGGTCCCTCTGTCTCTTTCTTAGTCTTAAGATTCGGTCAACTTCTTCCTGGTCAATCGTGTTTTTGCGCGTAGTGCGACGGTCGGATTGACTATCCATACTGAGGCAATTCCTTTTTCCGAATGTTCCGAGTCTGGAAGCAAGCAAGCGCAAGTATGGTAATGAAAATAAGCTCTGTACTTCTGTAGTTGCTGGACTGAGGGGTCGAAGATTGAGTAGTGACATCGTGTATGTCACGTGAGGTTGTTAAGGTCAATATTACTTGCATTCCAGAATGAGATCCTCAGTTTTGCGAAAAGGGCCACAGTGTGTAGCAAATTCATTCAATTTACATACATATTCAGTCAATCTGATTCACAATTATTCCTCATTATTTGGCTATCTTCCTGCATCGGAATTCCTATCATATGGCTCTGTATACACGGCTAACCCCGTAATTAACTGTGCCTTTGCAGTGGGCAGCAGATACAGAGTGCCTTAGGTATATTAATGTGTCAAACATTTAGCTCTATTACTTGTATGATCAAACTTCGTAACTAACAATATTGTTAGCTTGCGTAAAGGTAGGTATTGTCAATGTGATGACAGCGAACAAGACCGAGTAAGCCCGAGCAAGGCCGAGAGTGACCGGTAAATACCGATTAGCATGCGGAAGCGCAGTGCGGCAGAAAATGTTAAAAAGGATAACTGAGCAGTGAATTCTGTTACTTCGATCCTAATGAGAACAGTTTAGAATCATGTCGTCCAATGTTATTGCACTTGATTGTATCATTGTTGGAGCTGGGCTTGCAGGTCTTGCAGCAGCGCAGGCACTGAAGCTTGCTGGACATCGAGTCAAGGTCTCACGATAAGACACAGTTTAAATACCGGTCACACTGCTGACAATTTCAACAGATTTTTGAGAAATCGTTGCAAAAAGGCGAAGTTGGTGCAGGAATCAATGTCACCGCAAATGCCACAAAAATTCTCAGCAGCTGGGGTAATATGAGACTAACCTGGAATACGCTTCGTCGATGCTAACTTGACCGCGCAGGATTTGACTTCTCTCGAGCTCGCGCTCTTCCCTGTCGTGGGGTACTTTCTTACCTTTCTTCTTGTTCCAGTGTAACAGCATTGCGTCCAGCAGCTAACGAACGCAATCATTAATAGTACCAGCTATTTAGCGCAAACACCCTCCAACTGCTTGAGATAGCATCTGTTGAGAACGTAAGCGAGCAACAATGCTGCTGATCTTAGTTGGTTAACTCCTATAATTTTATTGGGACTATGAAGCGGATTTTCATTTCCTATATCAACCTGACTACCATAAAGAATTGAAACGACTAGCAACTACCCCGACAGACATAGGCAATGCGGCTACTCTTTATACTGGCGTGAAGGTTGTTGATGTGGTATGGTCTTTTAGTCTTGAAGTTTGGTATACCAGGCCACTAATATCCAAATAGGCCACAATAGAGGGATATATCGCATTGGCAGACGGCTCAAAACACCATGCAGATCTGATTATCGGTGCTGACGGTATTCATGTAGGCACTATTGACGTTTCCATATCCCACATTTATCTGATGTTTCTAGTCAATTACAAGACAGCATGTATCGAAAGACGCCAGTTCAGTGAGAACTGGGTGGAATGCTTTCCGATTCACCACTCAACAGAGAAACTGATGAGAATTCAGGACGTCATAGATATTTACTCAAGAAAAAATGGATGGTGGTCTGTCCTTACCTCTGATCATCAAGGACTTATTTGGTATGAATGCAAAGGGTTAGAATATCTGTTTGACAAATAGAGAGACTTGGAGTATAGTTCTAACTTGAGGATGTATAGGGGAGAGCTTCAGAACTTTGTTGCTTATTATGAATCGGATGAGGATGTCGGATCAAAAGGTATAGTAGCATTAAGACTTCTGTCTAGCTGATCTTAATGATTGTGTATAGGACTCGGCCAAAATGAATTACTATCGGAGCTTTTAGCAGAATTCTCCAAATTCAACCCTATTATTGTTTCTATTTTACGGTTAGTATTGAATATCCAGGCGCTCAATGAATTGATACGAACGATATTTAGCATAGCTGAAGATATCAAACCATGGATACTGCAGTATCAGTCACCTCTCGAAAGCTGGTCTCGAGGGCAGTTGCTATTAGTTGGTGATGCTGCTCATCCTGTACGGCGCTCCATTTCAAGATTTGGAATTTTGATGCAAGTCTGTGGCTGACACCGTCTCTACTTAAAGGTACACTCTGTTCAATCCGGGCAAGGTGTAAATCTAGCTATTGAAGACGTAGGTGCCTTGGAAATGCTTTTCGGTAACATCAAGTCAAAAGATGAAATATTAGACCGAATTACAACGTTCCAAAACGTTCGTTGTAAACGGGCAGGAGCTGTTCAAGTTCTGTCGCGGATCAAACGTGGAACAGAATATCAAGAGACAAATGTCTTGGACAAATGGCTACCAAGCCACATCCGAGTGTTCGATGGCACGTCTCGAGATTTATTTATTTATGGGTCGGTTGATCTCTATTATTCCATAATTATTTGCTCCAAAAGATTCTTGTTTTCTAATATTATACAAGCATGATGTTGTTCTTGAGTGTATGCTAGCAATATCTGGAGGGGGTGGAAATGCATAGGATAATATTGTTAGACTCAGTGGCATAAGGAAGCAGTTAGTTTCGGAAGGTATGTTTGACTTGATAAAAGTAATCCATGTGGAAATTGCGAATTGAAGCTATTAAATACTACAAAGGAATAAAGCAGCTGATTAAAGAGTACAGGAAGTTTCTTTTGATACTCATTTTTTTGGTAGTTCGTCGTTCTTACTCAGGAGCAATATGGATAATAGATATATAGTTTATTCGGTAGCCATTAGGTATTTGAGAACTCAATATGTTCCCCACGCTGTTTATCCAAGTCAGCGTTATTCTCTGCGCCATTTGTTTCTTGCATATTCCCATGATTAGCCTCTGTTATATTTGCATTTTGTTGAAAAGAAAGGTCAATGCCCAATTTCTCTGGCCCGATAATTACGATAATAAATAGAAATGCGTATGCACATGCAGCAAATATGCAAATCACTTTACCATAATCATACTGATTGGTCATACCGCTATTCAAGCTTGCAGCCTTACCCAGAGGAAATCTTTGTCCAATAGTAGCTTCGATAGTTAATGAAGCAGACGAGACAAGGTTGCCCAACTGATACGAGGTACCCACGACGAAGGTTCGAAGAGCTGCGGGCGAAAGCTCCATTAAATGAATTGGCACGACGCCACAGGCACCCTGAATGGCGAATTGCTGGAAAAATGCCGCTGCAATGACAGCCTTCGTATGGATAAATGTGTACGGATATAATAACGCAGCTCCTAACACGAACATGCAGAGCATACTAAGTCTTCGTCCAAATATTTGGGAGCAGTATCCAATGATTGTACCTCCGATAATGGCTCCAAAGTTGGAGACGACTTGCACGATAGTTACCGTGGTAGCCGAGAAATTGTATTGGTTCTTCAACAATGTCGGATATAGATCTTGCGTCCCATGAGCCTAGTATTAATGAGTTAGTCGAGCTGCTGTTCTCTTATCTATGATCCCACTTACTAAAAAGTTGAGCCCTGCCATAAGCAATACAAGGTAGATCAAGAGTACCCAGTGTCGCTTCACAGCTATTTTCCCTTCCTTCATGAATGTTTGTGCAGCAGAAGGCTCCTGCTGTCGAATTCTTTTACGTTCCAGAAAGGTCTCTGTCTCAGGGAGACATGATCTCAGAATAATGATGAGGACAGGAGGGCCCGCCCCAAACCAGTACAGTGGCCTCCAGCCGTGAGGAGTTGTATTAACCAAAGCTCTTGAAAAAGCAGTCTCGAGAAGGTATCCAAAGGCATAGCCTTGCTGGAGTATGCCGGAAAAGAGACCGCGTGCGGCAGGGGGACAGTCTTCCAGAGCGGTCGCAGCGGCGTTTCCGTATAAGCCACCCATAGCAATTCCATATAATGCTCTGACTACTAGGAATTGGACGTATGTCTGACAGAATCCGGTAGCCATTTCTAACACGACAAAAGGATGTTATTGATAATGAAGGGCCTATACGAGCCAAGAATTAGTGGTCAGAGACATTTTCATACAGTGGTCGAGATCGAACCAGTCTTCATACCATTTTCTTCCGTATCTGTCTGCTGCAACTCCAAAGATGGCCGCTCCAATAGACCTGAACATGAGAACAAGAGTGATACCCCAAGTAATGTCTGCATTACTCTTGTTGAACGATTGGGCAATCTCCGTGACTGTCAAAGGGACCGTGAAGAAATCAAAGGCGTCCCAAGTCCAGCCAGCGAATCCGACGAGAAAGAATAACCATTGTTGTTTGTTTAACAGGAAGAATAATTTCAGAGGATTGGGAGTTTTGTTCATTGGAGGTTTCAGCGTTGTCAGCCTGGTCATGATGTATTGACCAGCTATAGGCCGATTTCGTCCAATATGAGACGCTTCTTGGACTTGGGCTTCCATCTCACCAGCAGAGCTGAATTCTACTGTCATAGTTGGAAATAAGAGCCAACAAGAGTAGATTGATTGAAATGACAACTTCGAAGAACAAGTTGTCGTATATGGGGTAGAGAACCCTCTGATAGTAAGAAAGATGGATCTACTAGGTCTTCTTGCTCAGTCCGTTGGCCATTTTATACGATGGAGATGAAGACGCTAGAAGGTATTGAAGTGCCAATCCTCTTATTTGTCCGTCAGTTGGTGCCATAGGCATATACTCTGTTGCTCCTGTCCCCCAGATTCCCCGCAAACTTACTCACATCAAACCTAGATCCAGAACCCCACGTTTCCCCGGAATGAGCTACCAGTCATATGGCTTTATTTTGCTCAGTAAACTCTTAGTTTAGGTTTAGGCTGGGTGGTGTAGACGAGTGGCTTTTCTTAGGCACGTCTGGTCATATTTTTGTGTCGGCGCCGACCGGCCCAGGGCCACCAAGTTGAAGGACAGCGGCCCGGAACGGAGAGCCTCTACATATTTGGAGTGAATATCTCAGAAATGCATGATGAAGAATAGTTTGGTGATAGACAAGTGTAGTTCCGGCATATCCGGCTCGGCTGATGGTATAAGAGAATACGGTTAATTTCGGTTTGCTACAGAATAGGAGATTTGCCACTCCGGTGGTTATTCTCGGCATATACGTGACGATAGAATGACCTACTGAATCGTATATAGTTGCTGTGAAGGAATGTATGAAGGCAATGTTGATGAATGTTGTCAGTGAGGTTGTCTGGCCCATTGCGGAAGTATAGAACTCAGACGGCTACAAATTTAAAGAAACGTTGCACAAAATGAAGCCCTACCCATTTCAATTCAACAGCAGGTCTTCGTCAAAAGATGGACTAAACAGATCTACGGAGTCTAATCATCTTTGTAGGGGGCGAATACCCTCTGTCCAAGCATCGCAGCTTCGGGCTATGATTCGCGAAGCATACTCGGACCCGAGCAAGATTCTCGCTACATGCTGCTCTGACGATGGACTAGGATCACGCCTGGTCGAAGAAGCTGGGTTCCCGTACATATTTTTGGGTGGATTCATGGTCGCGTCTAGCTTTGGACTACCAGATACTGTCAGTTCATGATTTTAAAGTGTGATGAAAGTGAGGCGGCTATGCTAACAACATAAAAGGGTTACATTGCCTTCCAAGAAATGGTCAGCCGCATTCAAGAAGTCAAACGACAAACTACGATTCCTATCATAGCAGATGGAGATACTGGATACGGTTCTCCTGTAAATATTAGGCGCATAGTCCAAGGTTTCGCCATGACGGGTGCAGCGGGTATCATGATCGAAGATCAGACTTGGCCGAAGCGTTTGTTTATTTATTTATTTATTTTATTATTAACGTCCACTAAGTAAGCTAGTTATATAAGTCCTTATCTAGGTACTAAGACGGTAGGAGCCGCTGAGTTTAAATTAGGTATTTACTATATTTTAATATAATAAAGGAAATAAAGAGGTATTAATTTATTTTATATATTTATTTTTATAGGGGGGGGGGCTATATAAGCTTATTTCCTTTATTAGTTTTTAAAAATTCTTATACTCTTTATTATTAAGGAGGTATTAAATATAAGTAGTTTTAAAGTATACTTTTTTTTTTAATATATTAAAGAGGAAAAAAATTATTATATAATACTTTATAAAATATTTTTATATCCTTAGCTTTTTATATTTATAAATAAGCTTAATATTATATTTAAATTTTTTATAATATTTTATAAATTTTTTATATTTAAACTTTTTAATTAATAGCTTATATAAAATTAAATATAAGAAATATAGATTTAAGGGTATAAAAAAAGCTTTATAAAAGCTTTATTTATTAATCTTATATAACTTTAGGTAATTATTATTTTAATTATTATTTTATATTTTTTTATATTTTTTTTTTATTTATTTTTTAATAAAGGTAATAATAAAGTAGTTTTTTAAATAATAAAAAAGTTTTAAACCTTTTTTTACTAATTAATTAGCTTTTTTATTTTTTAATATATTTTTATAGCTTAAAACCTAGGCTATTTTTATAATTACTTATAAAAGTAGTTTTTAAGTAATTTAATATAGCCTTATATAGGCTTTTTAAAATAAAGTAAAAGTTAGCTTTAATATTTTATTTACTATTATTAAGTTATTTAAGAAAAGTAAAATTTTTTAAATATTTAGGTTTATAAAAATATATATTTTAATTAGCTTTATAACTTTAAAAATACTTACTACTTTAGTATTATAAACTTTTATATTAATAAAAAGGCTATATATTATAGTTTTTTTAAAATTAAAATATATAATAGCTTTTTAACTAATATTACCTTATTTATTTTATAACTTATTTAAGTAAATAAAGAAAGTAAACTTAAGGAGGCTGTTAAGTAGTTTTAGGTATTTCTTTATTACCTTTAACTTTAGTAAGCCTTTAAAGTCTAAGCTTACTTAAACTACTTTATTATTTTTAGTAAATAAAAAAAGTTAAATTATTTTTTTTACTAAAGCTATAGTATATTATAATTAGGTAAAAGAAACCTTAAGAAGAAGTTTTTTATTAATATATTTACTAATTAAGTAATTCTTATTTAAATTTATAAAGTAAGCTATTATATAAAGTTTAATTTATATTACTTATATTAATACTAAGGGGATTTTTAATTTTTTATATATAATAAAAAAGTTAATTATTTTTTATATAAGGATAACTACTTTAGCTACTGCTTTAAATAGAGGTTTTAAGATTATAGTTAATTTTATTAAGTTTATTTCTACTTATTTATTTAGGTTTATTATACTTTATTTACTTTTACTAAGTTAAAAAACCTTTATTTTATATAAAGTTATAAAGGTAATATAGGCTTTAGCTACTATAGCTATTATATTTAGTAAAGATTTTTTTTATATTTTATTTAAAAATCTTAAGAAATTAGCTACTTTAAGGGTTTTTTTTTTTATAATTTTAAGGTATTTTTTAAAAAAGAGCTATAAATTTAGGTATATTTTTAACTACTAAATTAAATCCTAGGGGGCTATAATTTTTCCTTTAAAGTTTATTTTTTTATTATATATTTAAGTTTTAGTTTTATAAAAGTATATAAATTTAGCTTTATTTAAGTTAAAGAAAATTATATTTTTATTACTTTAGTTTAAGGTATTTTTTAATTTTTACTAAAGCTTTTAAGTAGTTTCTTTAGTATTAACCTTTACTATTATAATATTAATATTATTTATATACTTAAAGTAGGTATTAGGATTATTAAGCTTTAGGCTAAAGGAAAAATAAAGTATAAAAATAATAAAGGAAATAAAAGACTTTTATAGAACTTTATATTTTAGCTTTATCTTTAGGAAGGTAATCCTATAGCTATTTTAAATAAAAGTTTTATAATTACTTATAAAAAAGTTAACTTATTTTATAAAAAGGGGGGGTTATTTTTATTTCCTAAGTTTATATATTAGGTAATTATATATAATAATATTAAATATATTAAAAATATTAAATATAAAGAGGGAGATAATAAAACCTTAGGCTAGGGTAATTTTAGTATTATATAGTAAGTAAGTAATTAAGTTTATTATAAATCTTTTTAAAAAAGCTTTAAAATATTATTTTAATAATATTTTATATTTTATTACTAAAAGGAAGACTTTTTTAATTAAAAGTCTTTTAAGGCTTTTACTTATATAAAAAAGTAAGGAAATAAGTTTATAATCTTTATATATAGTATATACTTTCTTTAGCTTTTTAAGTTTAGGAATAATAATAATTTTTATATTTTAGAAAAGAAGTAGGTAGTATTTTATTATTAAATATTTATAGAAAAGGTTAGTTATATATTTACTAATAGTAAGCTAAGTAAGCTATAGAAGGGTAATTAATATACTATTTATATTAAGTATAGTATTTTTTAACTTTATTATAGTTTTTTTAACCTTTAGCTTTAATATTATTTAGTTTTAGTAAATATTTTTATTAATAAAAAAGTCCTCTTCCTATAGATTTAAAATATCCTCTTTTATTATTTTTTACTTAAGAAGTTTATTTTTAAAAAAAGTTACTTTTTTATAAAATTTAAAATATTTTTATTTTTATTTATTAAGGGGGGTAGTTAAAAATAGTTTATTACTTTACGCTACTTAGCTACTAATTAAATATTCTTAGTAATACTAGCTTTTATTATAATTTTATTTTAGTAAGCTTATTTACTATAATATATAAAGTTTTTAAAGGTTTTATAAACTTCCTTTTAAGTAAAGGAGTTATTTACTACTTTTTTATAAGCTTTATAAGCTATTTTATACTTTTTTAACTATTATAGTATACTATAGCTATTTTAGTATTTAGTTTTACTAACCCCTTTTATAGCTTATTTAAAAAAGTCCTATAGGGCTTTAGTATATTTATTAAAATTATTTTTTAATAATATAGTTAGATTAACTATAGAGAAGGTTTAAGTAAAAGAGTATATAAATTAGCTAAAGTCTTTTTAATATTTTAATAAAATATATTTTTTCCTTACCCTTAGGGTTATTTTAAAGGACTTAGGTAGGTTTATAATTACTATATAATAATTTAATTTTATATTAAAGAAGTATTTAATTTTAGTTAACGTAAGGTAATTTATAAAAATTAAGTTAATATACTTTTTTAAGTATTAGGTAGGTATATTTATTAAAGTTAAAAGGAGGTTATATTTTTTTACTTATTTTATAATTTTATTACTTACTAGGTTTATATTTTTACTTAATTCCTAAAGTTAATATAAAATATTAAAATTACCTATAATAATTAAGTAGAGGAAGGGAGGGCCTTATTTAATAAAGGTTTTTATAATTAAATTTACTAAAGCCCTTTAGTAAATATTAATAATAATATAATTATATACTTTTACTTAGTATATATATTTATTT